GTGTGTTTCCATTAGGGCTACGCCGTTCCGCATTAAGGTCTCCGAGTAAAAGTTCACAGATAATCTCCATTAACTCAGGAGATAGAGACTCCCCTGTAGTCCGGTAGGCTCGTATTTGATACATGCTTGCTAAAACAAGCAGCTGAATTCTGATGGTGAAAAGTAGCATAGTATCTATCAACAGAATTCAGCTGGTTGGTTTAATCCCCGAAAGTCCAGCCCATTGTCCAATGTTCCTCACTGCTTGCGGGGGGGGCGAGGTGGCGCCCAAGGGGCGCCACCCATGGGGGAGGATACCTCGGGTGAGCCTTGTTTCAGTGCCACTGTGGTTGGCTTACTAAATCACCATCCCAGGATAAAATAGACACCGTTAACAGACGATGATGTAGTTAAAAAGGGTAGAAGGAGGAATGCCTAACACCTCACTAGCTCGAAACCTGTTAGCGAAAGTAGTACTGAGTTCTAGGTCATGTGAATGCACCAAGTAAAGGAAAACAGGGCTAGCTAGCCCCTTGTTATAATGGATACTGTTCTGCCCTTTAACAGAACCACTAATCTTAGACTTGGTTTCCTCCTTATGGTTTTTCCCAAGGCCTTTGCCTTAGTTGCCTCCGAATGTCTAGACCCTAGCCGTGAGCCTGCAACTGAAAGGATATGATCCTTCCTAAGAGTATCAATACAGTACTGTTCCAACGCCAAAATTACCCCGTGTTCCGATGGCCGATGCACAAAAGAATGTTAGAGAGAGAGAGAAGGCCATGTTTAAGACAAATCAAGGACTTCCCAAGCCACTGCCTAGGGGGGGCAAATCTTCAGATAAGCCCCCTCTCAGATTGTACACCGGTAAGATTACTTGAACTCCCTACGTACTTCTTCAAATGAACCGTATTGGTCCAAAGATAGAGCCTGAGCGGCCCTTAGTTAGCTGCATAATCAAAGCAATAGTTTGATAAACGTTAGGGAACACTAACACCTTTTGTTCTTCACTGCTATACAACACTGGCTCCCTATTGAGGAGACCCAGCTGGTTTTCTCCATATCCCTTTCACTTCTGACGCCTTAGCCAAGGCCCTTCGATAGGCTGGATAAATGATTGGGGCTAGCTAGCCTACACAACCAACTTAGCATCATCGACTTGGTAGGCCGTTACCTCCACCCTATGGTGTGTCGTATCCTACAGCCTATTGCTCGATAGGCTCATCACCAGCCGGAATAGTACTTAGCCCACTACTCAGATTACCGTGACTCCCGATTTGTCTTAAACAAGTCAATAAGGCAAATGAGAGCAAACAACATTAGAAATGAGGCAACGACAGTAGCCGAGGAAATCAGATAGGTGGCCTAGGCGTTTTACCGGGATCCCCGGCTCCTTGGAGGCCCCCCTAGGTAGCTTGCTACCATCAAAAGATAAACGGCATTCTTTCTCGTTGGCATGGTTGGTATGCAAAGGGGGTTTAGCCCCTACCATGCGAATGGAAAAACAGTGCCCCGTTTGATGCGGATAGACACACAACTCGGGAAACCGTAATTCTGCGGGCGGTAGGAAAAGAGTTGCGGGTACCTTGGTATGGTAGCAAGCATAGCAAGCATAGCAGGGGAAGAACTGGAGTACCTCTTATCTTTGCCTTCTTTCTTTCTGAAATAGAAACTTCCTAATACTGGGCTAATTTGAAGATAAGGGGAGGATCTGGTTAGTACCGAGGAGAAGTGGCTTGCTACTTTCAGATCCATTACATGGGTTACCTGGCTCATATCTATTAAGATAGCATCTATTGATACCTGGTTAATCTCGTATAGCCTCCGAGGTTCCCGGTAATCTCGCTTTAACTCGCGATACCTAGATGACTGGTTACCTGCTGATGAACCTATATCCCCTGCCTCGAGTTCGCGGCATTGTCACCTCCAGGGTAGCCCAGATAGAGTCTTTATGCCGCCTGCTAGCCGTGCTGATACATGACTCATTTAGCCAGCTGCTAAATGCAGCTACGTCGATAACATACTACAGAGACTCATAGGACAAGCGCCAACGTCTGCCGTTGAATTCAAAGATAGTCCCATGTTTTATACGCCGAGAGATTGTCGACGGCTTAACATCCAGAGATTTGCCCACCGGGGGGCCTACGGCCCGGGGGTAAGATAACATCCCCGGGCCTAAAGGGCGGGGGGCAAGATAGAGCGGGCTTCTCTGAAGCCGGGCCTTAAGAGAGGCCCGCCAAAGGAGCCCCGAAGGATAAACGACATCCTTTCCCGTTTAATACGCACAGGGATGCACTGCTTGCTACCATGAGGGAAGTTTGACCGCAAAGAATTGCCTCATGTTAGCAACAGAGTAAATCAGTCTCTCCGGGGGCTTCAGAGAAGATTTGCCCCCGGGGTTTAGGGGGCCCCTCAGTTGTAAGCTCGTAGCATAAGACCTGCTTAGCATTTACTGCGGCCATTATTGCCCGACTCTCAGTTGTGTGGCTGTTGACTCTCAGTTGCCCCTGTTTGGCTGCAGGGATTTTGGATTTGGCCTCCTCTGTGTGGCTATTACCCAAAAGCAGACCTTTCTGCTAGCAAGGGCAGAAGAGAACTTGGCCTTTGGTATGG